ATGGGTAGCAGGGAGACCCAGGAGGCCCTCAGAAGCAGCCACAAATCACCCCACTAGAGAGCCAGTGCTGGATGTCTGCCACACAGAAACATCTTCAGAGAAAGAGAAGCCACCACGCTGCTATTTCAGTCACAAGGGGAAAGGTAAGGAGAATGGGTGCAGCAGACTGCATTTTTCAAAGATAGCTAAACAACATCCTCCCCTTCATCTGCTGTTCTGCGGTGCGATCTCCCCTGTCATCTGTCAGCAGGTACCATCAATTACTTCCCTTCTTGAATCTGGGTACACCTGTGACTACCAGGACCAATAAAATGCAGCAGAAGGAATACGGTATCACTGAGGATGTAGCAGCACTAGCTGTATGTGCCAGCTGCAGGTTTGCTGTCAAAGATGCTTCCAAAGTAGGCAGCTAGCACAAGACTAAGGCCTCCAGGAAACACTCTCAAAGGAGGGAGTCTGGGACTTGCTATCAGTCTGACTTATGCTTAAAGTCAGCAATCACCCCTGGGAATGAGATAGTGTAAGTCTGTGATATGTAATACACATGCACAGCAGTGGCCTGAATCATTGTCCATGGCTGACTGGGATGAAGCACCTCAAGAAGCAAAGCCTTGGACACAAGGGGCTGCTGTGGTCACCAGTGATACAGGAATGATGACCTCTGTTGGAGACCTCTATGAAGTGGCTCTGAGCAGGATTTAATATTAACCAATTGGCTTTTCATGTTTATGTGTGAGGTTGCCCAAGGGCCAGGTCTCTTGTTTGGTGATGGACAGCAGACTCATGGTAAATGAATCTCTGAGTCACTGGTCCCCACTGAGGCCTCTATTGGCCTGTGAAGGTGGAATGCCTTGAAGGACAAGATAAAGCCCCAGCTGAGGACATCTGGCTCCAACCCCAATTATCTATAAGGAGACTGTAGCTGCAAGTAAAGGCCTTCCTGGAGATAACATAGTTCTCCTAAATTAACATAATGTATTACTTGGAGAAGTCCTTAAAGGGATTCCCAAGTTCTGCCCAGATTCTTACATTTTCTTCAATATTCCCCCGCTTTATTTGATAACATAAGAAATATGGGCTGCCTAGAGAAGTTCTTGGTCTTAACCCAGATAATCATGAATTCTGTGAGGGGTTTGGATCTTCCTGGAGCCCTGAAATCATTTCAGTTGTCTCATTTACTAAAGCCTTCACTTTCCACTCATTTGAGAGATGGTGGGCCTGATCAGTTCACAATAACTAGGGGACAAGGATTGTTAGATGGCTTTTTATTACTGCACTGGAGAACTTACTCTCTCTCTGTTACACTTTTCTCCCCTGAAATCTCTTCTTGGCTTAGTTCTTTCACTTTCCTAGTTTTCCCTTGATGGTGGAATACTAGAATTCCCCAAGTCTTACTGCTTGGTGTTTTCCATCTACCCTGTAGTTAATCTCACCTATTCCATGGCCTTAGCTATTGCATGGTGATCTTTTCCAATTAATCTTGCCAGTCCTGGTCCAGTCTGACATATCCAGTGACTATTCAATTCTTCCTCCAGGCTCTCTAATGGGTATTTCATGTATAACGTTAACACTGATTTTCCCACCAACATCTGCTGCTTTCCAAGCCTTTCCATTTCAGCAAGTGGTAACTCCATTTCTTAGGCATTTAAATCAGTTGTGTTAGTTCTCTGTCATTGTGACAAGATGCTTGAGAAAAACAACTTAAAGGTGGAAAGGTTTATTTCCTCTCATGGTTTCAGAGGCTTCAGTCCCTGATCAGCTGCTCTCTAGCTTTTAGGTCTGTGCAAGGCAGAATATCACAGTGGAAAGGCATAGCAGAGGATGAGAAAGGAAAGAACCACTCTGCTATAAACCTGTCAATGGGACTCATCAATAGTTACCCCGTGATGAGACCAGCCCACTCACGATCCAGTCACCTTCCAAAACCATCAGCTGGAAACCAAACCCTTGGCATGTGGACCCTGGGTGGCATTTTAGATCCAAACTGTAATACTAGCGGTTCTCAAACATCAACAGTCACAACTGGAGCAGGTATGTGGCTACTGGCATCTACTGGACAGAGCTGAGAGAGCCTGTGAATATTCCGCAATATATAGGATGTCCCCTCTTAAATCCCCAAAAAGAATTATCCAGTGCAAAATGTCAATAATGCTAAGGTTGAGAAACCAAAACTTCCTAGAGCATTGTCTTTCTTTTTCTTTCTTTCTTTCTTTCTTTCTTTCTTTCTTTCTTTCTTTCTTTCTTTCTTTCTTTCTTTCTTTTTCTTTTTCCTTTTTCTTCCTTTCCTTCTTTCTTTTTTCTTTCTCTCTTTTTCTTCTTTCCTTCCTTTCTTTCCTTCCTTCTTTCCTTTTCTCTTTTCTCACAGCCCAAATTGAATAATCATTTAAATATACACATACAATCATGCCACTCCTTTACACAAAACTTTGCAATGGCTTCTTATTTAGAGTAAAACTTATAGTCCTACTGTGGTCTCACAAGTAAATGAAATCCAAACTAACTCAGGGCCTTTGCACATGTTTTTCCCTTTGTCTGGAAGATTTCCTCCCAAATATTCACACAAATGCTTCCTCACTTCATTCAGAAATCTGCTCAAATATAACTTCCATGGAGAATCCTTCTCTGACAACAAAATCAAAATACATTGGTTCCTTGGTAACTGTGGTGGACTCCACTGATGGTCAACTTGTAACACCCAGCTGAACTGAACCAGTGTGGTGCTAGGTGTGGGATGCTCACCTGTGGATTGTTGCTGGCAGCATGAGAGGCAGAACTGGAGAGGAAGAAGTTTAGAAGTTGTTGGGAGCTGTTGGTTTTCCTGGGGCTGCTGTTAATTCTCTTGGAGGACCTTGTCATGCTGGCTTTTCTGATGAACTTGGCCACTCTCATGGTCGAAGGAACTTGGGACCTCTGTGTTGCTAAGAATGGCTACAGTTCACTTTGGGGGAGCTCTGGTCTTCACTTTGAGCATGGCTTTCTCGCTCCAGAAGGGAAGACTGTGCATTATTCAGTCTCATGCAGAAGCTTGGTTTGCTGGCTTTCCTGATTAAGATCAGCTGTTCTCATCACTGGAGGAGCTCCAGACCTGTCACTGAGGATGGCTGTGGTACCTTTTGGGGGAGCTCTGGTTTTTACTTTGAGCATCACTTCCTGGCTCTACTGCAGATCCCTCAGCCTGCTAGCACAGGTCCTTCATCCTTCTGCACAGACTTTCTAGATTCCACCACTCACCTTTGAGCCTTCCCAGAGCAGAACCGTGAAACAGACCCGCATGAGGCATTGTTGTGGGCTCTTGGCCTCCATTTGGACTCATGGGGGGACATTGTTATGAGCTCTAGGTCTTCAGCTGGACTCATGCATGACCTTACTGTGGATCAAGGCCCTCAGGTGGATTCTTTGGTCTTTATTTTGTGGACATATTTCCTGTACTCTTTTTGTATATGACTTTTTGGGCAACTATTATAAAATAATCTTATAAGTGATGTGTCCTGTATGGTGTTGTTTCCCCTTGTAAAGCCCAAACTACAACAGTAACCTTCATTAATTAGTTCCAGGAAGGCCAAACACTACCAAAAACAGTATCAAATAAATTGTTTTGGCTGGAAAGGGTAGTGAGTCACAAGGCAATTGACACCAACAAGTTCTTTCTTGTGCACAGAGTATCAAACACACGACAAATACCGGGACAAAATATGGAGTCAAAATGCATTGAGTACCAAGTGTGACGAGTTTCAAAGCAACTGAGTACCAAAGCATAACTTCAGTACTTTCCTTCCTGTCCCTGCCTACACCTGACATCAGACAGTAATCGTATTTCATGCATGTGCATTTCCCCCAGCCGTAACATAAGATCCAGGAAAGGGATGTGGTTATTGTTGTTAACCTAGTGCCTATAATATGAGTAGGTACTTAGTAAATTCAGTCATTTACTCATGTACCTGATCACTCATTTTTTCAACAAACATTTACCATGCCTATTAGATGTTGCACAATCTTCCAGATGCTAGGGACGAAGCAGTGAGCAAAACAGTCAAAAAGAGAAAAAAAAAAAAAGAGCTTGTCTTCACAGAGTTTAGATATTTGTTAAAAAATTAATGAATTATTAATATGTTGAACTTATAGAAAATTAAAACTCTGATTTATTTGCTATTGTAGGAGTGTTTCGTTCTCAGAAATATACCATTTTAGGAACTTGTACCTATGAATGATGGGAATCTAAACCCTTTGAGAAAGTAAACTTTTTGGTTATAACCAGAAAAAAGATCAAAGTGTTTATATGAATCTGTCAGACCTTGTAAAAAGATTAACTATATTAAAATGTCCTCAAAGGCTATCATTCTAAATTGCCTTCCAACATTACTTGCTTTCTGGTTACAGGAAACCATTTATTTTTGTTATAAATATTCTCATTGTTCTAAGATAAAAACATTTTAATAGTCTTCTTTAGAGAAAATGAAGAAGGGGGAAAGGGTATAAAATGAAAGACTAGAAGTCTTATAATGTAGTTTCTAGTATTTCAGTGAGATAGAATTGGACATTTTCATGTACATGATGACAAAATGTAGTACTGACTAAAGGACTTAATATGAAGCCACCTTCAAACTCAAACTTTAACACTACTGCTGAGATTACCTGGTTTACTCCTAACTCATAGACGTGTTTGGGGGGACAATGAGAATTTAACCTAAAGCAACCTGGATTAGTAACTCCCAGTGTTCTTAAATCTCAAAAAGCTCAAATATATGAACTATCAATGTCACAGTTTAAAAAAAAGTTTAAAAAGTACGGCGAGAAGCTGGGGATATAGCTCAGGGGCACAGCGCCTGCCTGGCAAGCACAAGGTCCTGAGTTCCATTTCCAGTACAAAAATCAACATAAAACAACAACATCAAAAGTCACAGAATGGACAACCAGGGTGAAAGATAAGTAAGATACCTAGTTAGAAGTGAGTTTCAGGTTAACAAAAAATACGTTTTTAGAGCAATTACGTCCCACGCAACTTTTTATACGAAAAATTTCACCGTGTATCTGAGATTCAAATTTAACCGGGCAACTTTCATTTCTGGTCGCTAGACTGACACTCCCTTCGACGATAACCTAAAATGTTGGTGTATTCCAAGCGGTCGGTCCCAAAGGCTCGCGCGTGGTTCATTTGAGAAGGTTCAGGGGCCGGACCAGGGCCGAGTCGCCTCTTTTCAGGCAGGCAGGTAATACTCAGAAGCGCCCCAAACCTAAGCAGCCCTGGCGGGAGGAAAGGGGTGTGCGCTGCGGGAGGCGCGTTTTGAGCCAGACGTCCGCGCGTTTCTGGAAGCGATCGAGAAGGGAGCAGGGGCTGGGGATTTAGCTCAGCGGCACAGCGGCTGCCTGGCAAGCGCGAGGTCGTGAGTTCGA